ATAGGTAAAAATGAACAGTGATTTCACTTACCCTCATCACCGTCCAAAGTTCATCGCACGGTTACAGTTGTCCGGTAGTGTTTCAATTTGTAATTTATTTTTACTAATCAAAATGATCTAAAATTTGGAATGTGTGTTCATAAAAAATAGAAAAATATCAAAAAAATATTTTACATGAAAACAATTGACCAAAATACCCCCGAAAAGTTTCAAGGGTATTTTTATCAATTTGTTTTTCTCGAATTATTTTTCTTATATTTTTATTAGGTGCGCTTCACTAAGATGTACGAGCGCTCCAAATTTCAGATCATTTCGATTTGTAGAAAAAAAATGAAATACTACCAGACAATCGTGACCATGCGATGAACTTTGGATAGTGATGAGGGTAGGCGAAATCATTGTTCATTTTTGCCTATAGGCATTGGGAAGGCCTTTCCATATATATATATATATGAGTTAATTTTGACCCCTCTTGCTGCTTTAACTTGTTTTTCTTATTAGAATTGGAACGTAATGCAATTTAGGACCTTGGAGATCTGTAGGACTGATAACTTGACATACGTATTTTTTTTTTATGAAAATATTGTGAATATAATGTAGGGATCCACAAAAAATATATGGAATTTTCCCTTTGCACTAATAAATGTAGTTTTTCATTACTTAATGAAGTGCTGGTATACTATGCTACTGTGGGAGCATACTTTTACTTGGGAAGAATTTTTTCTATCTGAAATTTTGGGATGCACTTAGCATCACCAGATGATTATTTTAGGAAAAGAAGAAATTTGAGTTCTTCAACACTTAGATCTCACCTTCCAAATGGATGGTATTTGTTCAATCTTGGGACATTTTTTAGGTGAAGTTATATAAGATTTTTTTATTTGGAGGTTAGTTGCTAGGTTGAAATGGTGAGGGTCCTAAAATACTCCTAGATTGTGTTTTACCCTATGGTGTAATGGACAGTATGTTCTTGCAGGCACATAAAATCTTTTGCCTTTAATGAAAATGCCGCACAATAGATTTATGTACGACTTAGACAAAACAGAAGAAAGAGAAGAATATTCAATCACCATAGTTCCATCTGTTTGATATGCTAGAAACTGTATTCATAAAATGAATTCCTTTTGTATTTAACCTACCCAAAATTTATTCTTCAGAACTTTGTTTATTTGTAAGTAAGAAAGCTCCACAGTTGTTGGCAGTGATGAAGTTTTGAGGTGAAGTTGTTTTTCATTGAGCAGGGCAGTTCAGCTGTGAAGTGGAATGTGATGGAAAGGTTTTGATCAAAGGAGTGACAGTTACAGGAGAGAAAAATATGCTCAGGCACTCGCGCTGGTTTCATATGAGAACAGAGAATCTCTGCCCTCCAGGCCCTTTCACCTTGTCGTTTCGTCTTCCGGGGCCTGTGGATCCGCGCCTTTTTTATGGCACCTTTGGCCCTGATGGAATTCTTGAAGCAATAGTGAGGAAGTATGAGCCACCCAAGAGCTCATTTCCTCAGGTAGCTTCTTGAATTTGGTTATTTTGGGCCTCTCTCGCTCTAGGGGTTTTAGAGGGTAGCATCTTGACTTTGGTTATAGTGGGGCTTCTTGCTCTCTCTTGGGGTTTAAGGGGTTAGTTTGTATTGAAATACTTGTGTGGAAGATGGGGAAGGTAGAGGAAGAATTGTATCATTGGAGATATGGTGGTTAGAACTGATCTCTAACTTCGAAGAGAGGTGAGCTATTTCTACATAGTGTTGTATATCTGTTTTGGGGTTTCCTTTTCTTAAGTAGGCTTAATTTTGTGAACAATTCACTAAGTGTAAAAGGAATGATACGTGAGAAGAAAGTATATATTGTCTACTAGGTTAGTGTGGAATGTGTAAGTGCATATGCGAAGGATCAATACAATATCCTGCTTATATATTATAATTACAATATACACATTCAATATTAAGTTGGTAGACAATATGTATTTTTTTTTAACTGGTGTAGTATAGGTGTTTGTGATTTATTTATATTATTGTCATCTGTATTTATTTATTCAAGACAAGCTTGTATGTTCATATTGATCAAATAGATACTGAGCTTTGTCAGAGAAACATGACTCTTCACTCGATAAAGAAGTGGAGAAAGTTGGAAAATATGTTTCCTCAAATCTGAAATATTAATATTGACCTTGGCTTATTGAGAGTGAGTAAGAGAGAGAGAGGGATCGTGGCTCAACCCAAAAGAAGTGGATATATATTATGATCATGGTGATGACCTTCTTATCACATATGTCTGGTTCTATGGATGATAATTTGTTTTCTTCGAATTGACTCAATGAGAAAAAGAGAAGAAATTAATAAAAAATAGGAGTTGAAATAAATACTGGCTTAAAATGGAGGACAATATATTGTGATATCTGAGATCATGAAAAATTTGGTCTTTAGGGTCGTCAGTCCCATTTATTGTTGTACTACCAAAATATCGTTGGTTCAACTGTGGGTCCCAGTCTTCATTGCTCGCCATCTGAGCCATTGATGAACGTTGATGAGCAAAATGACCATGTTGTTGGTAAGACCCTTTTTCTGTGTTTTGTGAGCGGGCAAGGTGCTCAGTTCAAATCACATAGGACCTTAACTTTGGGGTGGGGGGGTTTGGACTTGTTCTACTTAGGCAGAATTGGCTATCACTCTTGCCGGCCTAGTTATTTAAGGTCGATAAACTTAAATTAGGGAGGTGTGCCCCTTGGTTTTGACTGAGCGAGCCTGGGCTAGTGTAATAAGAACTGTAATAGGGTGATGGCTACTAAATGTGACACAGGCCTAAATGACCACTTTAATAGTGGGTGAACCTGCACCCTTGAGAGGAAGGTAGATAAGCGGTTATGTAATGATCCCTGACCTAAATCTCATCCAACCCGATAAGGTCCATGCTGAATGCAGATCTGGACCTGACTAGGCATTTGGACTCGGACCAGACCCACCGGCTCAAAAACATGAACTGGGACCCATACCCCATTCTGGTCAACCCGATTGCCACCCCGACGTTAGGCCATTGTATGGGTTGCCAGCCCATGACAGGCACCATGATCAAATGGACAACATTCTACTTTTCCTTTAAAAGAGTACGGAAAAACATGTCAACTAAACATCTTTCTCTTGCAAATCCAGCTGACCTACCCAGAGAAAATAAAAAGAAAGAAAAGAAATGGGAAGGTGTGCATAGTTTAATGGGAAAATTATCACATCATACTGAAGAGTTGGTCTACTTAACATCTCATCCATGCCTACTGATGTAAATTTGGATGCCCATATATCAAATTTCAAATTGCCATCACATGACATGTCATTATGAATTTCAAAAGTTAGGTTAAAAAATTTATCAAACCAGTTAGAATATTTAGGAAAAGTGTATAATAAGAACAATGAGGTCGCAATTTTTTTTTATCATTAGATATAAAATCGGATGGTTGTAGGTGCATATGATTGATCGGCCTCAAAACTCAAAATGAAATTTCTCAAATTATATAACACACCTCAACTACTGGATTTCACATCCGATGGTTAAAAATGATTATGATCTCCTTGTATTAAAAGTAAATGAATTTATAATATACAATTAAATTTAAATAATTCAAATTTTAGGTGTGATTTAACAAGTTTTTCATGTTTTGTTGAACAAGCTGCACACAAGTTCTAACAATATCCCTTCACAGGGTGCGTATAGTGTGCTCCTGTAGGAGCACCACACTTACTCTATATGGCAAAAGACCTGCTTAGAAAAGTTTAGTCAATATTATATTCAATTATTCACTTTAGAATCACGAGATGAGTGCCATTTTGAAAATGAAGAAACTTATATAAGGTGCACATAAAAAAAGTCTAGAGGAGAGTGTTATGATTATGGAGAACTGATCATCTTGATCTCAAAAAAAAAAGACAAAAATTCCAAATTTTTCATAAAGTGCATCTAAACTATTTTCAAAAATTTAAATTTCACAACTATGGATAAAAGTAAATTTTTGAGCGACCATGTGGTTTCTTGCACCGAAAATATAACTCCAAGTAAATTTTAAGTGCGCCTGACTTCTACAATACAAGGATGGCGGCTTATACAAACATCATCCTTTTGAAAATAAACTAGATATTCAATTCCTCAACATCTCAAACGCTTGGATAATTAAGAATAATAATGTTATCTTTTGATAGATACATGGATGGCATAATCTTAGTTGTCGGATGTAAAATCTAACGATTCGAGATATGTCACAAAGTGTTTCTTTTTCTTGCACGGAATTCTAAAACCGCCTAAATGCATTTGTTCCTGTCTAGCTCAGATGATATCTACATTCTACTCTACTGCTCATTAATTAATGGAAAATTGTTTCAAGTGGGCTGGGCTGCATTTCTACAATATGCAGTCTACATGTATAAAGCATTCATTTTAAAGATGAAAGCAAATAGGTAGTCTCTAATGTAATTAATAGTCTAAATGTTTTTTAATATAATGATTATTTTTAGTTTTTTTTTTTTTTTCATGTTTATGATCTCCATGTTAAGAATATATATTCTCCAAAAATAAGGATCAAATTATATTTAAAAAATATATTTATTACCAAGCTCACATTTCTACAATACATGAGCTGGTTGCATAGAAACCGGGTCCTTTGTTAATTTGTGTAGGAGCTTAGAGAGAGAGAGAGAGTGTGTGTGTGTTTATATATAGCTCATATTATATCTAGACTACTACTCATTTCTAGATAAAAAATGGTTCAGCCCTATCAAAACAAGTAAAGCCTTGCCTCATAACTCATTGAAAATTGTAATTTAAGCATAAAAAAATCTTAAATCGATCATCTTGACTTGAACATTATGGTCGTAAAAAAAAGAAAAAAAACTTCAAGCTCTAAAAATAGTGTAGATTGTAACAAATTATCTGGATCATCTGTTTCGCCCTAAAAATAAATGTTCATAAATCCGCAAGATTTGTACCATTTTTTTATTTTTGAATTTCATTGTCAAAGTTGGAAATTGATTTTAGAGCTATCATGAAGATTTCTGTTGCTGAAAGTGCTTTCTGAACAAGGATTTGAATAGAAGCTTTATTTTGTTTTCATTAAGCCTAGGCGCCTTATAAAGACCTTGTGTTTTTCTAGAATTAGTTGGTATAGACACTAGAGAGAGAAAACGCGTACAAATAATTTAAAGAATGAGAGTGAGAGAGAGAGAAAGAGAGAGAGAGAGTTTAGGTTTGTAGAATGAGTTGGGCTAGGGTCTAGCATGCTTGATTAGGTTCTAGCCCAAGTCCAGGTCTAGCTTGAATATATTTTTGATATTTTATCAGCTGAAAAACATGGGTTGTAGACTACAACTTGTATTGTGTGAAAGCAAAACCTAGTTGATCTTTTATCGGAGAATACATTTTTTGTTTTTTTTTTTTTTTCACCCCTCTCTTTTGGTAAAAGATAACTTACAGGTGGTCTTTATTACAATAAGATAAATTTTAAAATAAATCAACATGACAATAAAACCAAAACTTGATGTCATTGAACAACTGTACACTATGCTTGATAATAAAAGATAAGATTGCAAGAAAGAAAAAGAAAAGTGTCAGAGATTATATCAACCGGGCATATTGCACTCCACACCGAATCACCACCATCTGATGGCGCGGAATCAATAATCAACCTTCAATCTCATTCGGGAAAGCAGTTTAGACCAAACCACACCAATAGAACATGAATCCTTTTGATCACAAACTCAAACCCTAGGTGAATTCTCTTAGTAACCCAGTTTGAGAGAGATGTATTATCTTTTTGCTAAACCCTAAAACCCCTAGCCATAAATCTATAATTGAGAGATAAGAGAGAGAAGAACTCTATAACCTAAACCCTTAAGTTCTTTCACAATGTGGGAGAGAGAGATCAAAGACAAGAGAGTGGTGCGTGTCCTTTTAGCTTTCATGAGAGAGAGAGGCTTTTCATAAGAGGGAGAGAGAAAATCTAAATGAGGCGTGCCCCTTTGTGGGACATGAGAGAGAAAGATGAGAATTAGGTACAAGAGATAAGGTGTACAGATTTTTGGGTAGAGACAATCCATTTTTATAGGTTTTGAATAAGATTAGGGTTTCTTAGGGTTTTTCTTGGCTTGCATCTTCTTGTAAGATTGAATATGAACTATTGATCTTGGGTGACTTGTGGGGTGAGAGATTTGAGCCATCAATTTCATAAATTGGCTATCAACATTATCGAATGTACATAAACCATTATCCCCATTTCCTAAACTATTTTTCCATCAATAGAAATTAAATAAATTAAATCTAATCAAAATATTGTGTATAACACAAGTCTACTCAATCTTTCTACAAAATCTTTCAAAGATATTTCAAGTCAATATTTACTCAATATCTTCCAACCATATGGTCACATACCATATCACCTAAAAAAATAAGAAAGAGAATAAAGATGGAGTGTACCACCTAAGGGAGACACTCATGGGCTCCACCTTCTAGAAATATGGTGGGTCTATGTGATACAATGGGCCCCCATGATATATTTATATATTTAAAATTTATATGATACAATGTATCCAATATGAACCTCAAGATCTTGTGGATAGGTACCTGATTGGGTTTGTGTTCAAGTCTGATTGCGATCCTATGGCCCACCACCCAAACCCAGATCCGTTTTTGCCCTAAATTAGTACTAGCGTAGGTTCTTGAAAAGAGATCCATCACATTCTTATGAAAATACATAACAACGTTTAAATTTTGGATTGCACTTTCCAATAACTCCATAATGTCTCCTGAAAATAAACATGAGAAAATGAGAGATTCTTTTTCTGCCAAAACAAGCGTGGCCATAATCGACAAGTCTTTTCTAAATGAGTGAGACATATTATTTCTAAACATTAAATTGGGAAAAGTATTAAATAAAACTATTTTTAAGAAGGTCATAATCATTCGTGGCTGTCTAGATTTGACATCGGCGGTTAGGATGGTACCATTTAAAAAACATTTCGACCGTAGGATGTATGGATATGAGAAAAAATGGATTTCAAGTATTGGAAATAATACATCTAATGCATTTTTTAAACCATCAATTTACAAATTTTTCAAATATTCATAGATATTCTTGATGTACACAGTTCTTTTAAGCTTTAAATTTTAGGAAAGTATACAATGAGATCATTTACTTTTAATATAAAGTGGTCACATCAATTTTGACCATTAAATTGAAATTGGGTAGCTACAATTATTCTATTGATCAAGCTCAAACTTCAAATGATATTTTTTCAAACTTTGTGAGACATCAAAGCCATCAAATTTTACATTAAATGGTTATAAAGAATTGTGGCCATCTTGTATCAAAGATAAATAATATCATTATATACAATTCTTTAAGTTTATAAAAATAATGATCCAATCAAACTCTCCCACACCTTTCGATACTATTTGAAGGGCAGCTTTAGAGCAGCTATAGCTCTAGAGGATAGGTGCCCTATTGTTTAGAGCCTCCGCCTCATACAAACCACACCCATACTGAGATGATAGAGCGAGAAGGATGCAAGTATTGTTTTGGAGCCAGAAAATTTCATGCTCCTACGGGAGCATATTATTCATCCTCCCAGTTGTATGAACCAGAAACAATTGCACTGTTCAAAAGTCTTCCAAATCCGTCGATTGCTTGCTTGGTGCTTCCATATAAAGAGAGTGTCAGTTACGAACAAGTTCAATAACATCTAGAGAGAGAAAAGGCAAGAGTTTAGAGTTCTAGAGAGAGAGAGAGAGAGAGGGACGAGAATTTGAGAGAGAGAGAGGGAAAGATAATGGAGAGTTCTAGCGCGATGGTGCCTTTCCCTTTGCTTACAACCCCAGTTGAGAGCACATACAGGCCATGCACCATCCCTTACAGGTTTCCCTCTGACCCTCCTCGTAAGCCCACCCCAACAGAGCTCTCCTGGATCGAACTCTTTCAGAAATCAATACCCTCTTTCAGGTATATTATCTCAAATAAAATCTCTCCTCTTTCTCTCTCTACTCGATTCTTTGTTTTCTTTTTTTGTTTGTTTTGTTTTGTTTTTGTTTGATTAGTGAATTCTCGATTGGGGATTTGCCAATTTTGCCGTATCCATTGATTGCGATTCATTAGCCTGCAAATGAAATAATCGATTTGTTTTTCTTAAGTTCTCATTTATATATTGGTTTTATGTTTGATATTGCTTTTATGAACCATGATCCCTATAATCAGTATCATTTGTTTCACTTTTGGCATCGTGGGGTTGTTTACTTGAAATTTTGTTTCTTTCTTTTCCTTCATTTCACGATTTTTGGGCGTAACTGGTGTTGTTCAATCTTTTCTTTTGTTTGATTATTTGAGAGTTGGGCTATGCATTCTTTTTCATCAATGGCTGTTTTCTTGAGAGTATCTATGATTGTTTAATGAGATTTGCGAGAAGTTTTATCTCTGTTTTGGGCTTCTATTTCTTCTGAAACTGTGAGATGCTGATTGGGAAGAGATGCATCTATTATGGGGGTTGGAGGGAGGTGTACACATTTTGAACATACTTTTGAAACTGTACATGTGTAAGTGGTACAATACTGCACATGGATGCATTATTAATTGTACATTTGTGAGTGGTACAAGATTGCACATGGATGCATTATTTTAGTTGATCCCAGAGTGAATGAAGTTGAACATGGTGCTTAGTGAATGAAGTTGAAGATAGTACTTTGTGAATATATCACCATAAAAGATGTCATACGCTATATTATACGTGGTAATGGAGCCTGTGCATTACCTGCCTTCCTCTGTAAAGACTTGCATATATTTGAGTCAGCTTGGGCTCCTTACTGTATTGTCTTTGAGGGAAGGGGATCAACCACTGCCTTCTTATTAAAATACTAATGATATTATAAAAATGACAATTAGAAATGTTGGCAGCTTCATATCATTCCTTTTATATTCATGCTATTTAGTTTAAACTTTAAAGCCTTTCTTTTTTTTGATATAATATTTGGGATAAGGCTTGATAGCATACACTGACCACGAATTCTTACATGGGAATTTGAATCCTCTAGTTCTTTTAGGTCTTCTAAGTATGAAATTCATTCTTACTGCACTTAAATGATCTTCATGATTGTTGTAAGTTATTAATATAAATTACACATAAAGCTTTTGTTCAAATAATTTTATACGCTATTGTCATTTTCTATCAAAATTTTGTTTTTGTAGATAAATTCTTGATTTTAAATGCTGATTATATCTAAGTCATGCCTGAATAGCATACAGTTCGTCCAACTTTTACATGTCTTAGTTCAGTCCAAGTATGTGGCTAAATTCTAGGCCAAGAAAGGATGCACCTCATAGACTTCTCTATCGGGGCTAGGATTCTTACTGATTGAATGGTGAGGCTTATGGCTTATTTTCATCTTGTTGTGCCATCATCAGGATAAATAAATTGCCAAAAATGGACTGATTTTTCTACTGAATAATTGAAAGTTCTATAATACTTTGATTTTGAAGTGTTGTGAGCTACTCACAATGTTGCAATTGACTTTGGGGGATATTATATTATGCTACGTGAGAGAAACTTTATGAGATCTGGCGAGGTAGTCTCTATGATTTTTTTTTGGATCAATAAAGTAGTTAAATTTTGGGAGTTCATGTTCTCTATCACCAGCAGTCAGACATAATAGATATTGTTTTGATACAGGAAACGAGCAGAGAGTGATGATACAGGTCCCGATTCTCATGATAGGGCTGAGAAATTTGCTCAGAGGTATATCTGCCTTAATTTATGATTATTAGTTGTAAGAAAGTGTTATTTAAAGTCCTTTTTTGGATCAATGAAAGTATACTATAAACCAATGGACTTTGTTTTCGTGCAAATAAAATTGCTAGTTGATGTCAGCAAATTATATTATCATTTTAGAATGTATGGTGGTCATGGCCACTCCACCTCCATGAGAGGGGGAGAACATTTAGGAGAAAAGTTCATTTTGAAATTGTTACCAACAATATAAATACGTCATAATTGTAAAACTGGATGCTTTTATAAATACAATTCGAAATTATGGTAGAGTCGGAGTTTTAAATACAATTGGAATCTGTGCTCATAGACACACTCAGCCCACCTCCATGAGAGGGGGAGAACGTTGGAGAGTTGTTTGGAAAAAAGTTCATTCCAAAGATGTTACCAAAGCCAAGGTAAGTACACCTGCATGGGTTTGTTGTAAATCTGGATGGTTTTAGAAACACTATGGGAATCTTTGCCACAACTACAGTTTCCCTCTCCAGAAAGTGTATAAGGTCATCTTGTTGCTTCTTAGCATCCAAGGATTTCAGCTATCACTCTGGACAGTAAACCACCCAATTTGGTCTGGTAGTTCCTTATTTAATCTGGACTTAACTTATGAAATACCTCTTGCAAAGAAGTAGTTGGATCTGCCTTTGACTTAATTGTTGTATTCTAATTTGACTTGATGGACTGCAAAGGTATACAGAAATACTTGAGGACTTGAAAGCAGATCCTGAGAGTCATGGTGGACCTCCTGATTGCATTGTAAGTGATTTTTTAGGTATTATGGTGTCATATTCTTATGTCCACCTATCTACTGGTATTTGACCTTATCTTCCTGTTTGATTTTAGCTTCTCTGTAGGATTCGGGAACAAATCTTAAGAGAGCTAGGCTTCAGGGACATATTCAAGAAAGTTAAGGTAAAATATTTATTGCTCTGGTATTCCTGTATTTATTTATCAGGGTAGTTTCCCTGTCTCCGTTTGTGTTGTTTTTCCTTCGCTATGTGATGAGCTCGAATGCCTTCTTTTCTATAAAGGATGACGAGAACGCAAAGGCTTTAACACTATTTGAGGAGGTGGTTCAGCTTAATGATGCCATTGAAGATGCAAGCAAGCGGGTGGAAAGCTTGATTAGGGGAATATTTGCTGGGAACATTTTCGATTTGGGGTCTGCCCAGGTAACATCATTAGCTTGGTTAAATGATATTTGTGACATTATAGAATATTCTCCTCAAAAAATGCAAGGTGTTCCAATGCGCTTTCCTAGTGGAGGCAATATTATGTCAATAGCTCATAGAAATATCATCAAATTATGTGTGTCACCCAAAACAATCAATTATTTTGTGCCTTTGAAAATATATGTCAGTCACCATCCTACATAAGCACTTCAAGTTGTTGTGAAGAATCATGGCTTTCCTGTGGTTTCATAAATTACATTGAGTTTGCAACCCTTTTCTATTTTCAAATTTTTATTCTTAGTTATAAAAAAATTCTATATCTTATTAGTTTTTAAGTGAGTTTCCCCATTCCATTAACTGTTCGCCATATGCTTTGCATTTCTTGAAGCTTGCAGAGGTCTTTGCAAGAGATGGGATGTCATTTAGAGCAAGTTGTGAAAATCTGTTGCCTCGACCTTGGGTTATTGACGACTTTGACATCTTCAAATTAAAATGGAGTAGAAAGTCATGGAAAAAGGCCAGTGCCTACTCTCTATCTTTCACTTTCCGCGGTATTTTGATAACTCTGGATCTACTCTCAGAGCAAACTTTCAATTATATACCTCCAGGCTAATGTAATCGATTGATTTAATATGATATTTCATATTCTGGGATATTTGTTCTTTAGTAGAGATCAATCTTGAGAGTTCTTTTTAGGAACATGCATGCTTGATTATTGATGAATGTCTGTGTGTTCATGTGTCTATTCATGGACACATATAGATAGATATATGTGTTCTTGTTTCATGTTTTGCAGCATCTTGTGCTAGTGGCATGTAAAACATAAAAACATCATGGATGGCTCATATGGGTTTTTTTATCCACTTGATGGTGTGTGTACTTGTTTCATGTTTTGCAGCATCTTAGTGCTAGTAGCATGTAAAAACATAAAACATCATGGATGGCTGATATGGGTTTTTTTTATCCACTTGATGGTGTGCATAAACACACGTATTTTAGTACGCATAGAAACCCTAGTATGCATTCCCATATGTACAACTACAATACATGTTCACTTCGAAAGCTCTGTACGTATTCATATTTACCTCCTTGTCTAAATTTAATGTTATGACTAGATGGTTCATATATGCAACAGAAGTAGTTATCATCTAATAAGTTTTGTTGACATGAAGTAGTTATCATCTAATAAGTTTTGTTGACATGATTCATCTGAGAGTACATGCATGAAGTCGCATTGAGCAGTGTAGTAGCCAATTGCTCATGTTTCTTCGACCATATCCTACCATTTCACTCTATGAATTGGCAAATGGCTTAGTAGCTGACATACTCCACAATTCACAGTTGTAAATGTGTAATCAATCAAAAAGAAAAAGGGAAAAACCAGAGGTACGGGTTTACAGATTGGTCCTCCTTACAATGACCATGCACAATAGGATATCAAAATGAAGATTTTTGTAAATGATCAATAATGACTATTTTGTCCTTCTAAAGTGACCACATCAAGCCAAAACCTTGGATAGGCCTCTTTCCTCCTTGTCGCTTCATAAGACCCTCCAATATACTAAGTTCCAGGGTAGGGGGAGAAAAAGAGAGAGCAATCCTTTTCAACACACCAGCACCATTTACTGATAAACACCATTAACCTCCTTGAGGCTCTTAATACTCATGCTAGACATCTAACCTAATATCTGTCAATACTTCTTTCGGCTGCCTTTAGCGTTGTAAGTGATTCTCTTCAAAAATACGATGTGGCTTGGAAAGAACTATAAGTTAGAACTGTAATTTCTTTTGTTTTGCCAGCGTGCTTGATTCTTTTAATTGTGATTAATTCTTGTCCTTTTTTGTTGTATTTGACCTGAAGATAAATCAGTCATTTCTTCTCTTTCTTATACTGCTTGTGAAACCTGCCTAGTTTGAGAAGAAAAGAGAAAAACTGGAAGAAGTTGTGCACTGAATCTGATATACCCTGAGGGTCTCCCTTGAATTTTACCTCGAATATCTCCTTACAGCTTTTCTATGGCCCTGTCTAAATAGCATATGTGTAACACTCTTCTGTTGATTGTTTTCTGTTGATGCTGGAGATGTTATTTATTTTTATTGTTAATATATCTAAGTTTATAGTCTTCCTAGCTTGTCCTCTTAATTTTTATTTACAAAGACTATCTTTAGAAACCATAAATAATTTGTTTTTGACACTGTTACCTTGCTCTAATATGTTCATTTGGTCTCTAATTGCAGGCTGTAATATTTGTTGATAACTCAGGGGCAGATGTCATTCTTGGGATATTACCCTTTGCTAGAGAGTTGCTTCGACGAGGTACACAGGTTTGGTTCACCCTTATTGAATTTCTCTTGGTCTATTATGCTAACAATGTAAAGTTCAGCTGTTATAAAGCCCACAATTTTGGAAAAAAGTAAAAAACATAGAATGTCTCTTGTACACTTGTCTGCAGTTTCCTGGAGTCTCTTTGGAGATTAAGTGAAACACGATCTTTATTTATTATCAAGCGTGTGGTATCTTTTTGCTACCTCATGGTCTTCTCTATCTTTTAACTGATAGATATTTGCAGGTGGTTCTGGCTGCTAATGATTTACCAGCCATCAATGACATCACTTATCCTGAACTGATTGAAATTATATCAAAGGTGGCATGAGCTTGATGACATAGATTCCTTTGTATATACATAAATTTTCTAGTGTTATAGTTAAGTTGTGCATGCAAATTTAAGGTGATTCTTATGCTTTTCGGTGACTATTTATCAGTTGAAGGATGAAAATGGGAAGATCTTGGGTGTCGATGCATCAGGACTTCTTATAGCAAATTCTGGTAATGATTTGCCGGTAAGATCATGCAAATCTTCTGTCTTCTCAAGAATATTTTTCATTAGAAAGTCAGTTTTAACCATAGAAATGACCTCTGTTCGTAATTTTGTCTAAAAGAAGAGTTTACACATCTACAGGTCATTGATCTCTCTGCTGTGTCTCCAGAGCTGGCATACCTTGCAAATGATGCAGATCTGGTCATCATGGAAGGGATGGTAAATAGATGCTTTCTCTCCTTTTTTTTGCCTCTAGTTTTTTTGTGATGATTAATGGAAATGGATTTATTGAAAGTTTGGGTTGTGGCCTATGGCTCTTATGAGTTCCTTTTTCTGTAGGGTCGCAGCATAGAGACGAATCTTTATGCTCAGTTCAGATGTGATTCACTGAAGATTGGAATGGTGTGTTCTTCTCTCTCTCTCTCTCTCTCCAAAAATGCGAACAAAAGTGTGTACAAAGTGGGATTTTGATTTCGTCACTCTCTCTCTCTCTCACAGATGCGCAAGCAAAAGTCTACAAATTGTGATTTTGATTTCTTTTGCTTTATGGAGAAACAGGTGAAGCATTTTGAGGTGGCTCAATTCCTTGGAGCGAGGCTCTATGATTGTGTGTTCAAGTATACTGAAGTCTGTGACGAAGTATTGAAACAGTGATCCGCTTTTGCTCATCATATTTTCTTGTATCTTTACTTGGTTCGCTTTTGTTACCCCACATGTTATATAACGTGTGGGTTATTCTGTAGACTTCTACCCCATTGACCCCGAGTCTGTGAGCTAATACTATGTGAGCTCCCGAACCCATATATACAGACACTATTGCTCCCATCTGTTAATGGTAGCTTCCGTGGTTCAGAATTTTATCATACCATTAATCGCCAATTATTGAGTTACAAGAATAAGAAATAGATTTGAACGGATTGGGGACATCATTTAGAATCAGCTAAAGTGATTTGCTTGTGTTTCATCTGTGTTGTGTCTAGTCTCTCTCTCTCTCTCTCTCTCTCTCACTACTAAAGAAACTCATGCATGATTCTCTCTCGCTAAAGAAATTCATGCATGATTCTCTCTCTTAAAGAGACTCGTGCATAATTTCTCCCTCTTAAAGAAACTCATGCATAATTCTCTCTCTGTGGACCTCATTTATAATAAAAGGGAAAACTCACTATACAACCCTAGCTTCAAGCAGGCTCTCTCTTCTGGATTTCCCCACCCAGAAGACCACCCCTAGCAATGAACTGAGATCCCTCTCCCATCTTGAGATCTCATATCACACACAAAAAACCTCGCTCTAGAACAACCCCCACATCATCAAAACCTCTACACAACCCTACATCTATATGTCGAGCTATCCCATCTTTGACCTCTTGCAATCTTGCAAAACCGTGAGACAGCTCCAAAAAATTCATGCCCATATGATCACCACCAATCTCACATCTAGCATAACCCTAATAAGCAAGCTCTTAGCCTTCTGTATATGCCCCAATTCAGGCAATCTTCTTTATGCCAACTTGGTCTTCACCCAAATAAAAAACCCCAACTCTTTCATGCATAATCTTATGATCAGAGGCCATTCCTCAAGCGCTCAACCCCAAAATTCCTTTCTTTATTTCAAGCAAATGCAAAAGCTTGGTTTGGAACCCAACATGTATACATTCCCCTTCTTGGTAAAAGCTTGCATTGAAGCTAGTAGTATCATTGATGGTGAGTGTATTCATGCCCAAATTCTAAAACATGGGTTTGAAGACAATGTGTTTTCTGGAAGTAATTTGATCCAAATGTATTCAATTTGTGGGAAGAGAATTGAGGAGTCGAGGAAAGTGTTCGATGGATTGCATGAGAGGAATGTAGTGGTATGGACATGCATGATTTCATGCTATGTCCATCATGGCCATGGTGCCATGGCTCTAGAACTCTTCGAGTCGATGAAAAGGTCAGGAGAAGCTGAGCCTAGTGAAGTGACCATCGTCCATGTCATTGAAGCATGCATAATTGCAAAAGACGTGGACATGGGTATCTGGGTGCATGACTATGTGATGCACAGCAAAAGCAAGCTAAATGTAGTAGTTGGGTCAGCTCTAATGGATATGTTCTCTAAGTTTGGTAGCTTGAATATGGCAAAAAGAGTGTTTTGTGAGATGCCTGAGAGAAATTTGGTATCATATAACACTATGCTTAATGCCTGCTGTCGAAACGGCAAGCCCAAAGAGACTTTTCGGCTATTTAGTGAGATGAGATTAGTGGGCTTGGAACCTGATGAGATCACTCTCTTGAGCTTGCTTGATGCATATGCTTCGGTGGGGGCTCTGTGTTTGTGTCAAGCCATTCATGGATATCTGTACAAGCGCAAGATTGACCAGAAATTCATGCTTTATACCGCTCTTATAAACACATATTCGAAGTGTGGAGACGCTAATGAAGCATTGCAAGTGTTCCAGGAGATGGAGGAGAGAGATGTGCTCGCTTATAGTGCGATGATCACAGGTTTAGCCATGCATGGGATTAGTGAGAGAGCCATAGAGCTTTTCAGAGAGATGGACAGGGACCATGTGAGGCCCGATAAAATTGCTTATGTGGGGGTGTTATCGGCTTGTAGCCATGCTGGGAAGGTGGAAGAGGGTCGAGAATTCTTTGATTCCATGAGCGTAATTCATGGAATTGAGCCCACTTTGGAGCACTATGGTTGCATGACTGACCTTCTTAGTAGAGCCGGTCACTTAGCCGATGCCCTAAGGCTCATAGAATCGATGCCGATGAAGCCCAATCTCATGGTTTGGAGTGCTTTCTTAAGTGGTTGTAGGATCCATGGTGATGTTGATAAAGCTGAGAGTGTGGTTAAGCACATCGTTGAATTGAATCCACAAAGTGGTGGGGTCTATGTGCTATTATCTAATATATTTGCAAAGGCAGGGAGGTGGAGAGGGGTGGAGATGATGAGAGAATTGATGAGAGACAAAAGGGCGGGAAAGAGTAGTGGGTGTAGTGCTATTGAGATAAATGGTGGGTTTCATGAGTTTTGTGTTGGGGATGAAAGAACTCACCCCCAATCCAGAAGATACATGTTATGCTAGAAGAGATGAACAGGAAAGTGCAGGTTAAAGGATGTAAGTTCAATGGTTTGGATATTTAAATCAATGTACAGGGGCCACAAAGTGTGTGTGTGTGTGTGTGAGAGAGAGAGAGAGAGCGATGAAGACAGACCTTGATAAATGTTTGCAGTCTATGGGTTTTGAACCATTTGAATTAATTATGCAAATGGATGCTCACTCTTAACTTGTTTTAAAGACAATTATTCAAAGAGGTGCTATGTCTTCTGCACAAAGTTGCAAACAGTTAGTCAGCATTCAATCTCAATTTCCCTTGAGCTTTTTCTCCATCAATATTTCCTAATCTTAAATGAGTACATCATATAGCCATATTCTTTCATGAATAAGAAGTCAAGTCATAAAATATTAGAGAGAAATGGTTACACACCACAAATATGATTTTCCATAGTAAATTTCAACGTATGTTAGTTGCAGAGCACCCCATCAGTCAAGGCTTTAAAATAAGGAAACACATATTGAAGGCTTCTGATTAAATGGAATAAAGAAAATGGAAAACAGGAAAAGTCCTCATATTCAATTTTCACATTCCACTATGGTACCATCAACAATTCAATAGAAAAATAAAGAATTAAAAATAAGAAAATAAAAGGGGAAATTGGGTCTTCTTCTTATTAATAATGAGTAGTTGTCCCAGAAATTCCAAACCAGTACACATAATATCAATTACCCATGGGTTTACATCCTTTTCCTCTCACAAAAGACGAAAAAAGATAAAACATAGAAACTAATGGCCATGGAAAAAAGACAAGAAATTTACCCATAGAGAAAACCCAAAAACCAATGGCCATGGATTGTATTTCTCTCACTCAAAAGATAACTAAACACCCATTTTCTATAGTTAGAAAATTCGAACCAGAAACATAGAAACTAATCTTCTTTTTCCTCTTCTTCTTTTTCCTGGTCAGGATCATGTGCTGGATCAGCTTTATCAATAGCCTCTCTTCCCTTACTCAAAAAGGGTTTGCAGGCCATTTCCACACCGAGCCATGCAAAACCTAAGGCAGCGAAAATTATCGCAGCAAATTTCAGGCTATTCATGGCTGATTCCTCTCTCTTTCCCCCTCCCATCTCAGTCATTTCTCTCTCTATAAACTCTGAAGACCATGCTGTGAACTCCAAAGTTCAATTTCTCCACCGATTTCTCATATCGTTATATATAGAGTAGTGGTACATATTTTCCTTTGGGACACGGTATCTGAGTCATACGTAAAAATGCGGGCCCTTCAATAATTTCTTTTTGAAATAGAATTTGATCTTAATTTTTTAAAAATATATAATCATTAATATAGAACTTATTTATCGTAAAAATAAATAAAATTTAAAACTTAAAAATAATATTTTTTTTTAAAAATATTTAAATAGTTGATTTTATTTTTTCTTTGAAAGACTATTATTTATAGGGACCCGGTTTTGGTTGACGGTGTATATCTCCAAGCCTGTATAGTAACAGGTGCGGACTTGAATGCTCTAACAATTTTCTTTTTTTTTTTAAAATTTTTTTATTTTTCAATATATATTCTCTCCGGTGTCTCTCTCTCAACAGAGATTTCATAATTAATTTAGTCTCTAGTGTAATGCTCTATTTTGTAATAACGATAGTAAAAGATTATTTATTATATTTTAATTTATTTTTGATACAAGGAGGTGACAATCATTTTTAGCTATTGGATGTGAAATTCAAAGGTTTAGAATGCTTGATAAAGTTTGAGAAATTATATTTTGAACTTTGCAGCCACTCAAACTGATACTTACCACCAAAATTATTGGATGATGATATTTATTTGTATTTTCTTTTTTTGAGAAAAAGATTGCTCAGCTTGATTGTGGATGGGTATATTATCAGCTTTCCCCTATCTTCATGGCCTCTGGAGAATTTGTTTTTGCTCCAAAATTTTAGGCACATACATTTTTTGTCTAAGGAAATTTGTGAGAAAAATAAAATTTGCTAAAATATAGAAAAATTTACTTTTAAAAGGGAGAGAAAATATATTTAATACGAATTTTCCAAATTTTAAAAAAAATGGTGATTGATTTACACATCAAATTTGCATTATCACCATAAATATAATTTAAAAGTTTTTTAACGCCTTGAGTTCGATTCGTATCGAGATCATAAAACCCCTTCGCCACTGAAAGTACCCAAAAAGATCCAACTACCCATGAAACAGACTGCATAAGCTTATCAGTAAAAAAAAGCTTCTAGAATCTTTTTAAACTTTTTGGTTTCTAATCAAAGCCACGAAGATTTAGGTGCCCTCTAGAAGGAAATGCCCCTGAGGCCCACACAATGCTATCGGGCTTGCCCACATCGGTGTGTCTTCGGACATGGGCTCATGGTTTAAAGTGTTTGTTAGTGCATTATAATATCCCAATTTCAAATACCAACATGGGGTGAAAAATATAAAAATTAGATAATGGGAAAATTCAGAAAAAATGGAAAATTAGAGAAAGCAATGTGTAATATTTTGAAAATACGTTATTTGATTTTGGTAAAAAGTGCTTTTAAAATAAAGAAATTTGTGTTAATGTCTCTTTGAATTACCTTTGTTTAAGAGATTCCTAGAGTGTTTGGTTTCATATTTATACTCGTTATTTTGATTTTTTATTATTTTTAATTGCCTTTGTTTCAGAACTTGAATTTTAATATTTTTTGCTCATAAATTTATTTCAGATATTAAAGGTCCAAAATTGTTCTAGACATCAAATTCGAACCTTCAAAATCTAAAATTCATTTGAGCTTTAAACTTGATTTGAGACATAAGTGCATATAATGTGGAGTCTTTTAGGTTAAAGTGCAAAAGTCTATGTACCCTATCATGAACATCGACTTTTGGACCTTGTGGATGGAAGTTAATGTTTAGAACGACTTCATACCTACAAGATCTGAAAATGATGCATTAGAAAAAAAAAAAATGGCAAAGTTCGGAATCAAATCTTTTGAGGTGATTTTTTAAATAAGTGTGATTCAAGAGGATATTAGCGTGAGTTTCTTTTGAAAATAAGAAAATATTGAAATAAAATCACAATTGGAAGTTCATTTGGTATTCAATTATAAATCTATTTTTACTAGATGTCATAACGAACTGTTCAACAAAAATAAAGATGTTACAACGACATTGATAGTCACCGTCTAATATGCGAACCTGCTCCCTACCTCTAAGGGTGGCAACAGGCCCAATATGGGCTGGGCCAGCCCTAGCCCTGACCTGGCTCGCATCCCCTCAGAGTCGGTCTAGGCTTGGTAGGGTCTGGCCGGGCCAAAAAAAAATGAAGAAAAAAAAAAAACAAAATATCAAGCAGGGCCAAAACTGGGCCAGCCCTAGCCCAACTCTCGGGCCACACTTTGTAGCATAGGCCTCACTTTTTTTAGAGCCAAGCCATGACGGGCTGGGCTGGCCCATTTCCAGCCCTACCTACCTCTTGCGTTGGTAGTATGCCACGGGGAAGGGAAGATTATCTAAATGGCGCATGAAAGCGATGCTATGAAGTAACGTAGGACGTTGGTCCATTGAGACTCAACCGTTTCTTAGCAGCTAAGCAATGAAGGCCCCTTTGACTTTACGGAAAAAACATTAAATATTGGAAATTATTATATGTACCGAGTAAATTTACAAATTTTTCTTTTAGTTCATAAGTTTGGTAATTTTATGCGAGGTCCTATATCGTTTGCTTTTATTTATTTTTTAACTTTGGTCTAGATATTTTAAATATCAAATAACTTATTTTTTTCCTTTTTAGATTTTATTTGTGGGGTAGTCCGATATTCAATATATTGAACAGTCCTTAAGGGTAGGAATGGGTTGGGTTGGGTGGCCCTTAGGTTTAGTGCCAGAAAAATTTATATCTAATGGGATGGGAGGTTGATTTCTTAGGAAATTATTGAGAGGAATTTACCACTAATGCATCTAAGACTACATCTTTCCTTACTATCAAAAGACATGGTAAAATGTTAAACAGTTCATATCTTAGAGTCCATTTACTCTCCTTAGTAAAACTCAATTTGAGGTTATATGTGGTAGCATCTGTACTTGTACAAATAAAGTTATGGTGTTTTCCGCCTTCAATCTTAGTCAAACTTTCTTGTAGACATGACTTTCAACACTTTGGGTGCAAAAAAAAATATAGAAAAGGATATATTGGTCATTTCATATTTTCATCAAAGGTGATTTTTACTCTTTTCTAAAAGGAAAAATTACGTATGGACCATGTTTGGTCCGTTATATTACAATGCTCCAAGTTTCGAAATGATGTGGAGACCACCCTACCGCACCACCACCTTTTTTTCTCTAGAATTACCCACTTATGCGATATTTCCAACACCCAACAGGTGGAAAATTTTCCAAGGTTTTTTCTTTATTCAAGATCTGTCTTATGTCAGAAATGCTAAAGAACTCGACAAATAAAGTTGTTCGGTGTTTGCAATGTCGAACGGCCCAAAAAATCAAGATTGTAGGGTATCTAACGCTAGCAATATCGGACAATTGAATTTACGAGCATGTTTTTTAAGCCCTAAATTGAACTTGTTTGGTATAGCAACTAGTGGATAGCTTAAAACTGAAAAAAACTACCAGATTCAATTGTCCGATGTTGCTAATGTCAAACACTCACAGAAACTTGATTTTTGGCGCCGTTTGGTATTGTAAACACCTAACAACCTGACATATTAGGTTGTTCAGTATTTTGGAAATATCAGATAGGTGAGCAATTCTAGAAAAAGAAAAAGGGCGGCGGGGTAGGGGTACTCTTCAAGTAATATTTGCACTGTTTCGTAAATTGGGGGGCGGGGGGGGGGGGGGGGGGGGAGGGGAAGGGGATGAGGAGATATGGTCCATACGTAAATTTTCTTGAAAATTTTGAATCAGTTTCGGGATCCCATAGAGTTATTTGAATGAAATAAAATTAAAATTTTAATGAATTTATTTGAGGGATTTTGTTTACAGTGTACTCCCATGGCAGCATATTGT